CCATGTGCTGTTCAGTATTTTGATGCACATACAAGACAAATCCACACCTCAAGGAATTATCAATTCCATCCAGAAATCAACTCACCTCCTTGAGACCTGCCACTTGCAGGGGGAGACACTGGAGGTGAGGAAGAAAGAACCATCAGTGATAAGGTGGAATCAAAATGGAAACAAATAGAGTCACATGACAATCCCATGAGGCAAAGTAAAAGGGCCTGGATGTCACATGATTACAATGTGTTGAATGATCCATTACCTGATTTGGACAAATTACTAAATGATGATCAAACATTGGAGAATCATGAGCTCTCCTCAGCAGTGCGGGTGTACTTAGCATTTGATGAAAGTACATTAGGGGAAGGTGACCCCAAGACACTATGAGAGGCTAAAGCCTCACCTGAGTGGCCAGAATGGCAAAAAGCCATAGAAGCTGAATTACAACAATTGTGTGAAAAAGGGACATCAGTAGACCACTTTGTGAGCTGGTAGTCCTAGGGAATCTGTCCAGTGCTGGACAGCTCTGGACAGCTCTGGCCAGCAAAAGTGATTTACTGATGGACATGGATATTAGTAGATCCACCAGAAGGGCACAAGCCCATGTCAAATAAATGGGTATTTACCCAAAAATATGACAGGGACAGGGTACTCCAAAAATACAAGTTGAGATTAGTCACCAGGGAGTATTCCCAGGTCCTGGGAATGGATTACAATGATACCTATTCCCTGGTCATTAGATTAGAAACAATATGCCTTATCTTATCATTGGCCAACACCCAAAACTGGGAGATCCAACAAATGGATGTGAAGGGTGCATATTTAAATGGCAAATTAAAAGAAGAAATATATATGGAGCAGCCTGAGGGTTTCAATGATGAAACTGGTGTGAGTCAAAGTGAGGTTCAGTGGTGAAAACCAACCAAAACCAACACAAAAGACAATGAAAGCGAGTGGTGGTGTGCCTATGCGGTACCTAGATGGTAGAACCTGTTCTTTGGGAGGGTTTTTGCAAGCTACAACACTCAAAGATGAGTGCTGAGGGTTGGGGGTGCTCCTGACAAAGAGGGAGCAAGAACGTGATAGAAAGCGATAGGGTAGACTGCTGTCAGCCTACAGAAGGATGGATGGTGACTTAATTCAATGTCCTAAGCTGTACTGAGCTCAGGGAGGGCTTGGAGCGAAGTATATGGATGATAGATGATGATAAGCGAAGTAGATGATAGCTAGACCCTTAATAAAGTCTCAACTATCGAAGCTGATGAATGATTTACTGAGAGATGATAAATTGCGAGCAAGAGGGGCTCTCTGATGTCTCTTTTTTTGCTACCTAAGTACAGTGACTTATATACAGTACAGGGGCATTGCCTATGGAAAACAAGGTGCAAACACTTGGTAAGTGATTGGTAACTGATGAGTAAGGAATGTAAGCGATGGGTAATCATCTTGGAAAGCATTGGTAAGCATTGGTAAGGATAAGTAAGCCAAAAAGCAAAGAATCAGTAAGCAAAGTCAAAAGATTGGTAAGTATTTGCAATAGGTGAGTCAAAGACAGTCAGAATGTCACAGTATGAGTCAAGCAATGTCAAGAACTGGGAAAGTGCACTGGAATCACATTAGGGGGAGGCTGTGCATGTCACATCTTGAAGAGATCGCTTCTAGGCCAAAGTGGGATGACAGAGAGGCAGCACTGATCTGATGCTGATATAGTACATCCAAAAGTGGACAGGGTGAGTCAGATGTCAACAGGAGTCAAGCTTTGGGGGTCTGTGGGGTGACAGGAGCATAGGGGATCGCAACTTTCCCCCCCAAACCATCCTCTCAGTGAAGCAAATAAAAACTTCATGAATGAGGCTCTGTTGGAAGAGAGGATGAAGGGGGAGCGTCTTCTGCTGTATCTTGCAACAAGGAGGCAAGATGTGCATCATACTCATCATGGATGCAATCAGGGAGAGTGGAGAACAGTAGATTATACTGTAGCTGTCGCAATTTTGGAAGAATGACAGATGAGACTGGTATGAAGACATTGCAGGGGGCAGGGAGGAAGGATCCATATGCTTCTTGGACCAGAGAGACTGAAACAACCACATAAGACTTTTCCAAGTGAATGACAGACCTGAGGTGACCAAAGAATGTCCTCCTGGAGGTCATACTGACAAAAAGAACACGCTGTCCAAGCTGGATGGGCTGAGAGGGGGCAGATGAGGGTGGGATGTACCAGGACGCTTCAGGACGGAAGCTGGTAGGAACTCCTGGTAGATATATGTAGCCATGGTCCCTAGAAAAGGGGACAAGTGAAATGACTGATGTGGAGGCAGCCATATCAGAAGAATTAGTGAAATGAGCGTCTTTTGGAGGGAGTGCTGTAGAAACATGTGGAGTGCACAAATCCTTTCCAATCTTGGAAGGTAGGATCGTGTGGCTGAGCACTACAAGCGAGTGTGGGAATGGTTTTGGTGTCTGCAGGATTTGTGGAGATACATCGAAAACTGGAATGCTGTACACAGGCGCTTAAGAATTTTATTGGCGCTTAACTTGCCTCCTCCTTTTTCCTTGGCATTGACAACTTGTTCTTGTGCAAGGGATGACTGCTGACATTTCTGGCTGTCCTTCTTCGCATGAGGGCTATGGTCTTCACCTCCATTCATCAGCTACATCCATGTCCACCTCACCAAACACCTTTGGTGTGTGACACCAGATGCCTATGCAAATTAATTAAAACATTGTATGGACTGAAACAATCTGGACAAGAGTGGAATGAAGAGCTGAGTGGCCAATTACAGACTGTTGGCTTCACTCGACTCCACTCCAATCCCTGTGTATACATAAGGAAGACCTTGACTATGATTGAGATTATTATGGTATGGGTAGGTGACCTAGTACTTGTCACCAATACTGCAAAACTTATTGTTGGAGTGAAACAACCCCTGTCCTTACTTGGACTTAGGCACATGATCATGTTGCTTACATAAGCTGTTAGAGCCCACCCATACACTAGTAAAATTTACCTAGTCCCTCAGTAGCCTTGACAGACTACTGAGGGTGAGTACACTTCTACATAGATAGAATACCCTTACTAACTTGTATAGTTCCCTACAGGTACTATACTCAATATAAGTAGCTTGACAGACTACTGAGGTTCCCTACAGATTCCTCTCTGGGTTCCCCTCTGCAACCCCACAAACTTCTTCACTTATGACTAAACTAAAAATACAACTACAAAATATGTTCAAGGTAACAGACCTCAGAGACCCAAGTAAGTCAGTTGGGATTGAGATCACATGAAACCACACCAGTGGAACAATCACCCCCAGCCAGACACACTATATAGAGGGATTACTACAAAAATATGGAATGAACAATGCAAATCCAGTCAAAACTCCACTCAATCTGGGTACATGGCTAAGTCCACATGACACTGAGGCTGAAGGTGTACCTAGCAGCAATTATGTGACACTCATAGGACACCTAATGCATGCATCAGTGGCCATGAGGCCTGATATAACATATGTGGTCAATAGACTTGCATCCTTCATGGCAAATCCCAATTTGTCCCATTGGACAGCAGCAAAAAGAATATTGAGATATCTAGTGGGAACTAAGAGCCATGGGATTACCTATAAAGCCAACCCAGCTCATCCTGAACACAATAAACTAATTATGTATTCAGATGCTGACTTTGCTAATGACAATGATCAGGTATTGATCTCAGGCTATGTATCAGTCTTCAACCAAGGTGTGATCACATGGTACTCAAAGAAACAGAGCCATGTGGCCCTCTCTATGGCAGAAGCTGAATACATATCAATGGCAAATGCAATGCACAAAATCATATGGCTATGAAGCCTACTGAGTGAACTAGATCACCCACAATTAGAAGCTACAATGCTTTATGGCAACAATCAGTCAGTGCTAGTGATCATGAAAAATGCACAGTACCACCAGTGATCAAAACACTTTGACACCAAAAATCATTTTATTTGTGACTGTGTGAAGAGAGAAATAATTAACTTAAAATACTGTCCTATGGTTCAAAATGATGGCTGATACTGTCACTAAAGCATTAACCAGACCAAAACATGAACATAATAGAGAAGCCTTGGACATGACCCTGGCTTGAGGGGGAGTGTAGAAATACCAACCTGCCATCACACCCAAATAAGGAAACAATGACGCGCAGAGAGTGTGGGACATATGTCACAACCCCAAAAAGGGGACAAGCAAAGTGAAAAATACAAAGGCAGGAGTAGGGGATGGACATGCCCCAACAGACGAGATATCAAATGTATGACGTAGATATAAGGTAGCTACCGGAGGGGAAAGAATCCCCATGAAACGAGAATGTCACCTCGTTGACCCACTTCCCTATCTGAACACACTGAGTCCTAAGCCAGCCATCCTCACACATATGCTTGCTCGTACCTAATTGTTCCCACGTCAGTCACCGCGCACACACCATTCCTATCAAGTTGATCACCTCCTGCTCTTGCCTGCCATTCAGGCGTAACTGCGGACCGAACTAAGGATTCTGGGGGCTCGAGTCTCGAGACCGTCATAACTACAACTAGTTTCGGCTACAACTTACTCCAGGTAGACACATGCCCCCGCCTTCTGATACAGTGCAGTGGAAGCACCAGCCTCAGCGAGTAGCCGCCCGTTCCTCGAGTGTTGACTGTAGGATAAGATTCTATCTCGTGGTACCCACACTTTATGGTATGGACTGCACCCTGCCATGGGACAGCTTGACATTACTCGATTTTCGATTTGCTTCGCTCTGGTTTTCCTTTGCGGAGGCTTACATAGCCTTACGATGTTTTATGGAACCACGCCCATCCTGCATGATCCTGTCTGACAAGGTGGGTCGTCCGCCGTTCGTCCGACCAACGTGCTGCCGCCGAGGGGGCTAATAACGTTGAATCAACCAAGTGAAAGCTAGAGACACAGGAAACTAGATTTCGATCGTTGCTCTACTTTGCATTTTCTTATCTAACGTCTCGTGCCAATTGTGCTACCACCGAGATTGCTCTTGTAAACCTAAGTTTGGTCTTCTAACACACTCAACATTTCTCTACTTTGAGGGTATCATAAGGCTTTTCAGAGTGAAATTATTCTGCCGTTGCTTTGACGACTGTCGGCATTACGCCTAAAGCATGGATCAACTACTTGAGATAATGCAGGGGTACAAATACGTACCTCCAGTCGGGAGATACACGAGCTGGTGGTTAGTTACTCGCAAGAAGGAACCGAAGAAGCCACCGTGCGTTGTAATGGAAATGACTATGCATGGGGTTCTCGTCACCTTTCAACCACAGAGGAAACATTGCGTTACATTGTTCCTTGTCATTTTCAAATATCATGTCCAACGCAGCTTTGACCCGAACATCGACATCTGCCAGCGTTTCTCTGACGTCAGGTCTCCACAGCTCGTCCTCCTCAGCGAAACCGTCCTCAATGGAGTATTCCGGAAATGTCTGGTTGATGTATGTTCGCGTCCTCCTCTTGTCGCAGGTATGAACGCCAATTATCTCGCGGATATTCTGAGCATATTTCTCGTCAATGATGGAGATCCCGGGAAACGAATTCATGTAGTCACCTCCACGATAGTTGTCTTGCGACCATCAACAGTAATGTCCTTAAAAGTGCGCTGGCTCGTCCGTATGGTGCGCGTGAGTGGACTGCAATACAGCTTTTCTGGGAAGGGAAGGCCGTGCAAGACTTCTGTCTTCCATGCTTCGTTTGCCTGGTCTGCTTGGCCCTCACCCCTCGACGTGAGGTCGGGATCAGCTAGTGAGGTGACATATTTATAGATACAATAGGTCAAGGTACTTACGACCCCACGTCAGCTCTCCGTCTCCATTCAACTTAGACCAGTAGCTGCACCCACTCGTAGAAGTGCGAAGACGGATTTTCGAAAAGGTACTCACTCATCCCAGGCCTGATCCACGGCGCATTAATCACTCATGTGGCAGCACAAAGTACTGGGAAGACATGCCTTCTTCCCGTATTTCGCCTCAGCAACATTATCTGCACGTCCAGTTATGGAATCAGTGTGACAGTAGCCCGAAAGAGTATTGACTAACGATAGCCCTCTCCATGCCTTCCGAGAAAGAAGACTTTGTATTGGACGTGACTCGGCGCCTCGATATTAAGTTGCTGGATGGATGCGATGAACTTGTACCAACTCTCGGGACTGCCGTCAATGAGGCCGAATCGTGGCGGAAGCTAGCAATGATATAAACGCTTAAACACGTTAGATTAGTATACGCAGTTCGACTCACAGGCTGCTTGGCACATCAGCTCGCCTTGTGATGGAGGGAAATGTGGCACGTACATCGAGCCAGCCCGCAGCCGGCTTTGGATCGTCCTGCGAAAAGTACCCAACTACTGTCTAACACATTCCTTGGGTTGAATTGAAACGGGAATAGATTAGCAAGGCCAACCTCGTATGTTCTGTGGGGCGACATCAACACTTGCTTCGGCCTGGAGAGCCCACGTTGGCGTTATCTCAGGTCAATCAGGATGTCGTTGTGATCCTGTATTTGTAGTGCAAAAGGCGCCGGCAATTGATTTGGCTGTGCTGTTACCTTGCTCGCTATACTGGTTGATCGAACTGCGAATAACTCTAGCCCCTACTCGCTAGGGTGTTAGGTCTTTAGTTATCGCTTTGTTTCCTTGCTACGTGTGTCAGTTAGTACGTCTGCGAAGGTGTGCACTGATGTCTCGACAGGTTCGCGAACGATGCGCCTGATCGACGTGAAAGCATTCCTCAACTTTCATTCAGGGACAATCAACCAAGATACCAAGCTTCTGGTTGACGTCAATGGTGCTAATCTTGAGGAGACACCATATGCCATACTGTCTCATTGCTGGGGTGAGGAAAAAGATGAAGTGCAATATGTGGAGATGCAGGGACTTACGAAGATGGACGACGATACTGCCAGAGAGAGGATACGGCAGCGCAGCGGGTACCAGAAAATATATAAGAGCTGCGAGCGGGCGCTGCTGCATGACGAACTAAGTTGGCTCTGGGTGGATACATGCTGCATCAACAAGCAGAGCAGTGCCGAGCTGTCCGAGGCCATCAACTCCATGTACGTGTGGTATGCAAACTCGGATCACTGCTACGCATTCCTCCATGACATTGATGCTCGCACCCTTCCTTCGAAACGCGACGACAAGTACTCTCACCACAACGGTTGGCCTAAATGGTTCTCACGTGGATGGACACTCCAAGAACTCATTGCTCCTGATAACGTCCACTTTTTCAACCAGAATTGGGAGTACATAGGTAGCAAGCAAGGCGATGCTGACACCCTAGAGCTCATTACCAAGATTTCGGTGGACGTCTTGCGAAAGGGGCTCAGGCAATCAGATGACACGCACCCCAGTGTAGCGCAAATTATGTCATGGGCTGCAAACCGGAGGACGACAAGGGACGAAGACCAAGCATATTCGTTGCTGGGGTTGCTTGGTGTGCACATGCCGATGTTGTATGGGGAGGGGAAGAATGCGTTCCTCCGTCTGCAGCTGGAGGTCATGCGGACGATCAACGACCAAAGTGTATTTGCCTGGGGCTGGACATTGGCCGACGGTAGCGGTTGGGCTCCCAGCTTCCTTGCAGACGAGCCTAGTCGTTTTCGAGACTGCTCAAAAATAAATCGGATGACTCACAAAGCCCTCATAGACGCTCTTAAAAAGCACTTCCCGAAGAACAAAGTCCATAAGATGGCGCCGAGGGAGCATTTCAAAACATTTGATGTTACTAATGAGGGCATTCTTATATCACTAGTTCCTGCAACGTGATTCCTCCGGAGTCTCGGAGCTTTTCTCCGCAATGCTGGCATGCTGCGACACCCAAGATGGGTCGAGTCCCATAACCATCACCTTGCGGCAAAGTGGTCCCGACTCCAATTACTCTAGGTATTTCCGCCGTCGTATGGTATCTGAATGGAATGCAAATGTGCCCATCAAAATGGAGAAAGTCTTCCTTCCTTACCGGGATAACATTGACCTCAACATCAGAGGCCCACTGTCCAGACCAGTATGTTATGATTTGTCTTGAAATGCACTCCATGTACTGACGTTGTCAAAGAGTAGGCTTGCACGGATTCCATTCATGAATATCAGACCTAGTGACATCATCATCCTGTATGTACCAGCAGTGAATTGTTCTCTTGAGCTCAGTATGACCTTATCAATAGAGTCTTAGGTGCATCAGGTTCCGGAAAGAGCAATGTAAGTTGACGGAAAGTTATTGATGTTGTGCACTCTTACTGGTGAAGTGATCCAGATAATCAACAAACTCACTAGGGTATCACCAGAGCATGACAAACATAGCCTTGCAGCCTCTATGACAGATTGTAGTGCCTATACATGTGTCCGCAAGGGCAAACGTTTCATATTCATAGATACCCCAGCATTTGACATGCACGGATTTGAAAGAATATCAAATCTGATGAACTTCATGTGAGCTGGCAACACATTTACTCCAGCTGAAGGACTAATACCTGAGCAGATACCAGGGGTCTATGAAGCTCACTGGCCTGATCTACACACATAACATAATGGTTGAGTGCTCATGTGCTGGTGAGCAGTGCAAATCACAGATTCTAAAGTCTATGTGTGGGGACAAGGCAATTGATCGGTTGCGGCTGGTGACAACCATGTGGGATGGGGTTCAGGACCCAGAATATGCAATCAGAGTAGAAGATGTTTTAAAGAGAAACTGTTGGAAGGCTCTTCTCCAAGAGGGTGCCACTTCTCAATGGTTTGTCAATACTCCACAGTCAGCATGGGCAATTGTGGAGAGCCTGGGAGATACAAGGAAACCCCTGTTGCTTCAAGAGGAGATGGTTAAGGGAATCAATTTGAGGGAAACAACTGCATTCAAAGGATTTTCTTTGCTCCAGAAGTAGCATTGTCACCATACTCATGCAGTCCCTTGTATATAAATACACTGGCCCTCTGGGCAATCCAGGTTATTATCTAATGAAAAATCAAGTGGAGAAGCCTGGATTCATGTTGTCTGACACCCATGTGTGGAGGAGGGTGTGAAGAAGTTCACACATGGGCATCCCTTCTTGACTGATTGTCTATGAGTTGATGTCTCATGCAAATTTTTTCATATCAATTCAGTCATGTTTGAAAGTTAAAAAGTGCAGGAACCTTGTATGACCCAGAGGCTGATGTTTTGCTCAATGCAAAGTGAAAGGAACTTAGTACAAATGTAAACAGGTCTAGCTTAGAAGCTCATGCCTTGGACATGTAGTCATCAGCATATTACAGCAGTTTTCAGAATGGCACAGAGAACCCATTTTCAGAATTTGGGGTGGCTGTACTAGGACCCTGAATGCAACTGAGAATATGTGCAAGTATGTGGCCACCAGATAACTGCACCCTGCTATGTCATCACCTTCTCCTACTCATAGCTCAGAGAGACCACATGCATTTGCTGTGGCTCTAACTGTCTACTCCACCATCAAGAAGAAGGGAAATGGAAGAGGATCCACACCAAAAGAAGGGAAATCTGTCAAGATGAAGGAAATTCTTATTGTTGTGAATGATGGCAACTACCTCAAGTTTCTGAAGAGTATCCTTGAGAAGCATGGGTATGATAACTACAGGGTTTCTGAAAAGAAATGTTATCTATTCAAGTTTGTACCACCACAGACAAAAAGGTAACCATCAGTTCATTTTATTACTGTTATCATCTCACACAGAGATTACTTGATTAGCCAAGGTGCAAGCAATGCAATGGACATTGACAATGAGGTTGACTACCAGGAGATGGTCAAGAAGCTCCATGTGACCATGAAGATCTTCATTGACATGAAAGATGTTGAAAGACTTCCCTCAGATGATTTGGGGGATGAGTCTAGTCAATTGCCTGAGAGTAATGGTAATCAGGTATGGAAGATCAGTTCTTTCTACTATCTATGAATCAGAACATCCACAGAAGACTTCACATGGGATCTCAGATCTGGGCATGCATGCCCCTTGCTCATTGGCAAGGTCAAACTACAGAAGCTCTACAGGAATGAGCATGAAGGTTTTATATATGTTGGGCTGGACAATCCTACTGACCCCTGCCATGAGTTTGGATTGCTGTCATGTTCTGGTATGTATACTGCTTTTTTTGAATACTAATACTATCTTCTGATATCTGTAGGAGGAAGGACAGGTGATGTTGCAAGTGCTGCCTAATCTCAGGTCTTTCAACATGGCTAACAAGGCACCATTATTATATTGTACACACACAATGCAGGTGTCTAGTACTCCAGCACCTCAATACTGATTTCAACTCACTTGCCTTGGCCCTTTTGATTCAGACACTTATGAATTCCAGTCTCCTCTCACCCAAACCCTGGTCAAACCCAGCAAATGCACAGCCCATTCCATCCCCAGTGATGCCTCCCTACTCAAGCTGACCTATCCCCTCACCAACTCAGCTCTCATGTTTCCTCAGCTATACTGAAACTAACCTTGGTGTTCTCAACACTTCAATGTATGAGAAAGACCCTGAATTGCAGGGAATTGGTCCTGACATCCTTGCTGATATTGATGACAAAACACACACCCTTATCAGTTTCTCCACCAGAGATATAATTCACCTCAAGAAGGGGAGCTTGGTGTGGCAGAATGTCCCAGAGGCAAAGCTCAAACAGAGAAATGCTGCAGTGTTATCACAGAGCATTGAACAGACATCAGATTCAGGCTGAAAAAAGAAGGTAGCATATAAGAAATGATACCATGGTGATGATGGGTGCCACTTTTCTGAGTCCCAAATGACAGCTGATGAAAATCTGGGCAATCCTTTCACCCCCACCAAAGGTTATGATCTGTTTTATTGCTGTGATGTGCAGGTCCAGTGGCTACCTGTGCCCAATGGCTATGTTATGGATGAGGTGTCAAGTCTGGGCCTACTCTGACCAACTCCAGCACTAGACAAGGTCTGGGGAGAGGTCTGGAAGCAAGTCTGACAGAAAGAGCAGAACTCTGACTGGTGGGGTGTTGGCAGGAATGAAGTCCACCAAGATAAAGGCAGAGTGAAGTGAGGGTGTTGGGTTTAGCTCATGCACTGCCCCCTTGCATGATCTTGGCCCTCATATTTCAGAGGGGGAGCACAGACAGACAGTTGGAGGTAACTCTGACAGGCAGAAGATGGAGACAGAGGGAGTAGGAACTAAGTTGATATTTGTACTGAAGAACAGTGGAGTATGATACATGCTTTCATACTACTATGGAGGTACAGTAATCAGAATTGGAACTGACATATGGAGACTTGTAAAATTTCAAGTAAAACCTCCTAGACAATGAATGAAGGGTAGACAGAGGACACATGAATGGGTAACACAGAACATCCCAAAGAGAAAACAGTCCAGGCACCAGACCATGTGGTGCACATGCTGTGGAGTACCTGATCACATGCTGTCAGGGAGAAGTCCAAAGGGTAGTCACATGATTCCTCAGAGAACAGCCTGTGCAGTCTGGTAGGAGAGCAGTACAAGTCTGACAGCAGTTGGAGTGGAGATGACTCGTAAATGTCAGGGGACAGGTGGAGTTGGTGCAGAGTGAGTGAGGACCTAGGATGAATGCATGGTCATGACATGAGGGAGGTGACAAACATCACAAGAAGAAGGATATATGGTGGATGTCTATGTAGTTACTTTTTTTTTTGTGCATTGTATATCCAAAACTGTGAATTTTATAGCATTCTCAGGTTGCCATGCTGACATGGAGGAATACATGCAGTGAAGATCACATTTTTCAGTCAAACATACATACAATGGCTCAGAAGTAACCCAATGTTGGGTGATTTTGGAAACATTTGAGATTTATGAGGGAACCCATAGGAATTAGTTCAAACTCTTGAAGGGCCCCAAATAGCACTAATCATTGCCTTGACAACATGTGTTTGTTCATGTAATTTGGTGGCCATTGCACTGAGATGTAACCAGTTTTGAAAATGGTATGTCATTGGGACACTTTTTTGAGCATGATGTTGTCAGTCATTATTTAGTGAATAACATAAGGATTTGATGGCTTCTGAAGGATAGTTGTGCTTTAACCTTGCCTGATTATATAATGTGCATAATCCTAAGCCATATAAATGGCTTGGATCCCACTCAGCTAACCCTACTTCATCATGAAACCCATTTTTGCCTCTGCTAGAGCAAATATCCTTCTTCTTTCTGAATTTGGCCTTTCTGCTCACCAAATCTCCTCTAACACTGGTCTGGGGGACTATACTGTGGCCAGGGTCATCAAAGACTTCCAGCTAGATAAGGAAAACCTCAAACTAGGACATCCTTACAAGCTTTCTTGTACTGGCAGAAGGAGAATTGTCTCCAGTATGACTTCTGGAAGAGCTGAAAATGCTGTCCAGGCCACCCATCTCATAAATACTGCCCTTTCCTCCCCTATCTCTTCCCAAACTGTTTGCAGTGTGCTCAAGTCTGCAGCAGGAGAATTATCCTGCAAAGGCTTTCCCACCATTTTCCACACATATTTCCTTCCATCTGACCCAGACCTATTGACCTTGGGTTCAACTGACCAGATGATCCCAGTCCAGTTTTGGTGCTTAAGAGCAAGGGAAAGTCCCTGTTACCTATGTTTCCTGGACAAGAGTGGCTTCTGAGATGGGTGGCCTGGGCAGCATCTTCAGCTCTTCCAGAAGTCATACTGGAGACAATTCTCCTTCTGCCAGTACAAGAAAGCTTGTAAGGATGTCCTAGTTTGAGGATTTCCTTATCTAGCTGGAAGTCTGATGACCCTGGCCACAGTATAGTCCCCCAGACCAGTGTTAGAGGAGATTTGGTGAGCAGAAAGGCCAAATTCAGAAAGAAGAAGGATATTTGCTCTAGCAGAGGCAAAAATGGGTTTCATGGTGAAGTAGGGTTAGTTGAGTGGGATCCAAGCCATTTATATGGCTTAGGATTATGCACATTATATAATCTGGCTGTGACAAGACCTAAAAAACAGGGTTTGTTGTAGAGAACCAACAGAAAGAAAGAGAAGGAAAGGGTAGGAGACAGCTTTAGAAGCAGGAGCTTTAGGACTTGTAGACCCAAATGAACTAGCTTGGAGCTAGTCTGTGGATTGAGCAATGGTACTTATAGTATGGTACACAAGGTAATGGTGAGGCATACATGAGGTCCATGACATCAGAGTGGAGTGGAACATACTAGAAGGAAGGCATGTGATAACAGTAGGCAGGGTCTAGACTGGAGTCTGGACCAAGTCTGAGAGATAAGATAAGACAAGAGATTAGATAAGATGAAAAGGAAGAAGAGAAAAAAAGGAAAAGTGTATGTATCATCACACTATCCCCTCCTTAGGAATTGACTTCCAGGTGATTGAAGGTAGGTAATAGTGTCAGTGAAATTTTCAAGGGGACAGAAGAGGGAAGCAAAGAGGGAGGAGTCCATGCCATGAAGCTTGTGAGGGGCAGAGGGATGATGATGGTAAAAGTTTTTAATGGCAGTGAGGGTGGACTTCAGGGCAGACTCAGGCTCCCAGGTGTGATCCTCTGCATGGTATCCCTTCCAATGGACCAAGTACTCAAGCCTGTTCCTTTTAACGCAAGAGTTGGCAACATAATCAACCTCAAACTCTTCTTCCCCTTCATAGGCCCACCACCAGTCCAGGACAAGTAATGGTCTGTCCCTCCAATGGGCCTTTGTAAGGCTTGACCTGTGACACACTCACCACTGGATGGATTTTGAGGGTTTTTGGAAGTTTCAGTTCAACTGCATTTGGTTTGAGTGAGATGATCTGGTAGAGGCCAATCCATCATTTAGTGATTTTCTGAGAGGGACAACCAGAGAGGGAGATCTGTGACATCTCCAGCCAGACCATGTCTCCAACAGAGTAGGCTGGAGCCTCCAAGTGGTATGACTTGAAGTTAGCTCTCATCCAGTGAGAGTCAAAGTGCATCAGTAAATCACTTTTGCTGGCCAGAGCTGTCCAGAGCTGTCCAGCACTGGACAGATTCCCTAGGACTGCCAGCACGCAAAGTGATTTACTGATGTGTGGTTCAGTGGTGGTGTGCCTATGCAGTACCTAGATGGTGGAACCTGTTATCTGGGTGGGCTTTTATGAGCTACAACACTCAAAGACAAGTGCTGAGGGTTGGGGGTGCTCCTGATGAAGAAGGAGCATGAATGCAAGAGGATGTGATAGGGTAGACTGCTATCAACCTACAGAAGGATG